GCAGTCAGCTTCTTTAAGCTGTGTAGCTTGGGTTTGTTAGAAAGGTAATTTTGTTACCGTATTATCTATATTATACAAATAAAAAAAACAGGGGCTAGTTTTTAACATTGAATTTGTTGGCGCTATATAAATAATTATAATAATAAATATTGTTTCAACCAGATATCCTATGCTGATTACGTGGACGAGCATAAACTCGCAGAAGTTCTCTCCGCAATAGACACACTATAATACTGTCAGCGTGCAACCCCACAAGCTTTAAACTAACGAAGAGAAACGAAAATGTTATTCACTGAACAGTAAATTGTGGTCAGTCTGACTCTTGACCTGGAAAATAAAGCCCAGTATACAGCCCCAAGCTAAATTGGATATTAAAATATTTTCCCAAACTGTGCTTTTTTTGTTCTAAATTTTGAAAGTCACTTATCAATTTTCCGCCGAGTAATTTTTAAAATCACATATAGCAACAAAAGTACAATGGTTTTTAATTTTTTTTCCCTGTTATGCTAACTGTATCAAAAATACTCATTCCAATGAAGCTAGTTATTTTTAACCTTTGGTGACTGTATAAACATGTATGCTTTTTTTATCGAAAGACTTTCGCTGCCAGTACAGTTGCATCACATCATGTCTTTAATTACACCAACGTGGAAATGAATGCACTGTGTGTGTGGTCTTGTCAAAAAGTACAGAATATGGGGTGACCTTGGCTCGTTTGAGTTCAGCTCTTACAACTGACAATGTTTCAAAATTAGTTTTGCTCATTTGGTTCACTTTAACAGAATATCATTTGCTTCTTTTTCTGGAACAAGGAAGCTTTCGGGGTTATGCAGTGAACTTCAAACTCCAAATTCAAATCCAAATGGCAAAACTGAGAAAAAATAGAACTTTGAACTTATGGTCAAGTTAGAGATTTCTCACAGATCAGCTATTTTAGTTCGAAATTTGGCCATTAACTCCTCACTACCAAGTGGCTTCCAAAAAACCTCCAGAATCCGTAAAGATTTTGGTTTGACTGAAAAACTGAGTGACCGTGTGTGTGTGTGTGTGTGTCAGGGTAATGGTGTAGGGGTGAGTGTGATTGTTTTTATAAGGTGGGGGTGAGTGTGACTGGGGTGACTGTGTGTGTGGGTGAGTTACAGGTTGACTGTGAGTGTTTTGGATAAGTGTGAGTGTGACAGGGTAACTGTGTGTGTGAGAAGGGGGTGATTGTGACGGGGTAATTGTGCGTGGCTGAATATGATTGGCAGGGTGTGTTGGGATAGATTGAGTGTGAGAAGGTTGTATATTGTGTCTATGCTCCCCACACATTGCAGATCGTTTTTTTTGTTTGTTTTTTTAGCTGAGCCCCTCTCATATTTATCTTTTATGCAGTAGAGGTGGCTCCTATATTCATTCCTTGGTGGTCCAGTGGTTTCCATGGTTTCCTCTGACTGGGTGCAGACCTCTCTGAATGTCCCCTTCCAGTCTCTGATCAGAAGGCAACAACGGCAAAGAGCTGCTTCCAGCTGGAGGAGCATCCCGTACAGTGGGTAACGCAGGGCTGTATGCAGAGATTTGTAAGCCACCCCATCCGTCCATGCAGCTGGGGGGACTCAGCAGAACCGGCGTGTTCATGGAAGTACCAGTTGTGATGTACTGGCAGCTACTGAAAACAAATCCCATTTGCACACCCTGGCAAGCGTGTTATACCTGAATGGCAGTGTGACGGGTTTAGGTTTACCTACAATTTAGAATTGAATGTATAGCCCTGCTAGTAACTAGGTAGCACAGGTAAAAACCGTAATGCTTGTTCTATTGATTTATAAGTTGACAATAAAAACACAACCGTTTGACATCCTGGCTTAGGGCACCTGAACTGAACCAGACTGAGCAAGGAAAGAAATGTTTATTTACTTTGTAACAAGAAACAGTGTAATTTAAAGAAAATAAATAAATAAAAATGAAACAGTGTAGTCTTCAGACTTAAATGCAGTCTATAGATCAGGGGTGGGGAACCTTTCATCTGCCAGGGTCATTTGGATATTTAAAACATAATTCGTGGGCCATACAAAATTATCAACTTAAAAATTAGCCTGCTGTATTTGATCAAACATTTAATTAACTCACTCCTAATGTGATGGCTGGAACTGCTTCTCTTTGGTGTGATGTTAGCTGGTATTGATGATGTTGCTACTCACAGTGTGTGTGTGAGAGGGGTGTAGTGTGTGTGTGAGAGGTGCAGTGTGTGTGAGGGCTGCAGTGTGTGGTGTGCAGTGTGTGTGAGTGAAGGGTGCAGAGTGTGTGTGAGTGAGGGATGCAGCGTGTGTGTGAGGGGTGCAGCATTTTTGTGTGTGGGGGGGGTGCTGTGTGTGTGAGCAGTGTGTTTGTGTGAGGGGTTCTGTGTGTGTGAAGGGGGGGTGCAGTGTGTTTGGGTGAGGGGGTGTAGTGTGTTTGTGTGAGGGGTTCTGTGTGTTTGTGAGGGATGCAGTATGTGTGTGAGGTGGTGTAGTGTGTGTCAGGGGTCTATATTGTAGTGGGGGGGGGGATCAGGGAGAAAATCTACATATTTTTTTTACTTAAAAAGAGGACAGAAATCTATACTCCCTTCCTTCTTACCTCTGTCCTGGAAGGAGAGGACATATCACTGCAATCCCTGGTGGTCCAGTGGTTTCGCATGCACCTTAGCATGCAGCTCTTCCGGCTGCAGGCTGACTTCACTATTTTCTTCCTGCGAGCACAGTGCAGTCAGAGTGTTGTCATGGTAACGAGCGGCAATGCTCCGACCTGCATTCTCGCGGGAGGATCACAGCCTCTCGGGTCCTCCTCCCACCCAGCAGGCTCCCAGGTCCTACCTCCCTCCCCCTTAACAAAATGCCTGGAGACTGGTGAGGGAGATCTTTGAACTCCCCCCCCGGCACGAAAAAGGCAGACAGCAGGGCCGGCTCTCCATGGCCCGGTGTAAATGATTCCGCGGGCCTTATATGGCCTGTGGGCCATACTTTCCACACCCCTGCTATAGATGCTATAGATTCTTCTGGATTATAAAGCTGTCAATCACTAGTAATAATGCATGTGGCATTGGCCCAGTGACCATTTCTTCAATCATAACATGATCTCAATGACTCATTCTTCAAGTGTAACAGGATTTATACCACAAGTATGTACAACTCCTATATTAGACTTTCCTTGTAAGTATTGTAGCCGATAACCAGGAGGATGATTAACAATATGTGCCATTTCCAATTAGTGGGTACCCAGTAATTGGTATGAGGACCCAATTTTCCTGTGCTTGCAGTAGGACCTAGAGATTTCTTAAGTCAATTCACCAACTGTCACATGGAAGCTCCTTGTTGCTCAGTTTTCCAAATTCGTCTGTTTCAATAGAAATTTTTAGCAAAATTCACAAAAGACAAATATGTTTGTTTTACCAAGTTAATTATTTTGCTGCTGGTTAGTTATTTTTTAAAATCAGCCTAATCTTTCCATAACCTATTTTACACATAAACACATATTATTGTGATATCTATATGTAATATGTATTATTGATATATTATTTCCCAAGATTTCCATTTACATATAGGCAAACTGCAAGCAAATCCCATTCATTGATTTAGACCAAGGATAGTGTACCAATAAACCTTAAACCCTAAGCCAGCCTAACTCCAAGTCACCCTAAAGCTGCCCCAATACCTCACTAAACGATCCTCAAACCAAAATCCCCCAAATCTTCTTTAACCTTAGACTCGACACCATTTGACGGCTGTTTGGTAAGAATTTGACTGCTACTCAGCTGGAGTTAATAATGAATAGAACCCACTGTAGCCATAATATTCCTTTGTAAATACCGGAGACCAATTCAACTCAATGAGATTTCAGTCTCTTCCCACCTTACACTGGCATTTTATATGCTATTTCATGATTCGCCTACTCATTGATATGTTGCCTGTTTATGAACTATTGATTACTTTCCACAGATGGAACTTTTTCTACTTGTTTTTCATTTTCTCCAACACCTGTTTCTGCATAGCAGGTCCAGGAATCCAGACTGCCTGTGAGACTGGGAGGTGCACATGCACCTTACGGGCAAACCGCTTGGTAACATCAGTGAAGTCCTGGGGATGTTACCTTAGCCCAACATCCACGGGTTGCTTTACATTTTGTTTTTACATTTTGTTACTGATATACTGATGCAGAGAAGACAGGGACAATCTGATTGAGATGGATGGTGTGAAGTAATTAGAATCCCACTACACTGATGCCCCATCTATAATAATACAGAGAGACACTTAGTTGCTAAATTCACAAGACTCCATTAAATTGTATAGGACCAGTGGGCTGGAGAATAAGCAAAATGCCCTCTTCCTTCAAGGGTATAGGTTCTGTTGAAAGTTATATGGATAACAATGAGAAAAATTGCTGGCTTGCCACTGAAGCGTATGGGGCTAATTATTTACACACTATGAGAGATCACCCATGGTGCTATTCAAGACCCATTAAAGTGATTACAAAGTGACAAAGGGGATGAATGAGACTTCTTCCAAATGAGTGATTGCGGGCCTCAAAGCCCTGTTTATATTTGCTGCCCCTACCATTATATCGAAGTCTAATACACAGCCTGCCATGGGTGACATGACACTTATAGATGATCATAAACACATCAAAGAATTAACCCCTTTAAATATTTACTGAAATTGAAAAGGAACTTATTCATTGAAGTGGCAATTTCATGTTAAGGCCAAAAAAAACTAAATTGGAAAAATGCTTACTGTTTCTAATGCAGATATTTCGGGTTTAGAAAGTGAAATTTCCTGTTAGTAAGTGAGAATTCATACTTTAGGCCTTGGGGAATAACCCTCTCATTGTGACCCCTTGTTTCCCTCTGTCCTCGGGAAGAGGGGGGTAAGCTAATAGAAAACCCTGTCAGCCAATATCTAATTGTACCGTGCTGTGGAATATGTGTGTGCTCTGAATATAATAATAATACTAGTCACAATATAAACCAAATATTCTCCCACTGAATGCAGGGATTGGTAGGGAGATCTCGACTACTTCCTGGTTTCATGCCGTCATCCCCAGGAGATGACTGGAGAAGGATCATATCCCCAGGAGATGACTGGAGAAGGATCAGATCCCCAGGAGATGACTGGAGAAGGATCAGATCCCCAGGAGGTGACTGGAGAAGGATCAGATCCCCAGCAGGTGACTGGAGAAGGATCAGATCCCCAGGAGATGACTGGAGAAGGATCAGATCCCCAGGAGGTGACTGGAGAAGGATCAGATCCCCAGGAGATGACTGGAGAAGGATCAGATCCCCAGGAGATGACTGGAGAAGGATCAGATCCCCAGGAGATGACTGGAGAAGGATCAGATCCCCAGGAGGTGACTGGAGAAGGATCAGATCCCCAGGAGGTGACTGGAGTAGGATCAGATCCCCAGGAGATGACTGGAGAAGGATCAGATCCCCAGGAGATGACTGGAGAAGGATCAGATCCCCAGGAGATGACTGGAGAAGGATCAGATCCCCAGGAGGTGACTGGAGAAGGATCAGATCCCCAAGAGGTGAATGGAGAAGGATCAGATCCCCAGGAGATGACTGGAGAAGGATCAGATCCCCAGGAGATGACTGGAGAAGGATCAGATCCCCAGGAGGTGACTGGAGAAGGATCAGATCCCCAGGAGGTGAAAGGAGAAGGATCAGATCCCCAGGGACACCTACAACGAAGAACTTTAAGAGCTAGGTATCCGTTCTGTTTTTTAATACAGTGCCTAAATAATACATTAACATTGTTTATTCCCAGAATCTCTTCTTAAATCTGCTGATATTCCAGACTGCTGGACGGTAAAATAAAAATGTACAAAATCTGTTTTCACAACAGGTTACAGTATCACTACTCCACTATCACAACAGGTAACACCATCACTACTGTACTTTCACAGCAGGTAACACTATCACTACTACACTATCACAACAGGTAACAGTATCCCTACTCCACTATCACAACAGGTAACACCATCACTACTGTACTTTCATAGCAGGTAACACTATCACCACCGTACTATCACAGCAGGTAACACCATCACTACTACACTATCACAACAGGTAACACTATCACTACTACATTCTCACAGCAGGTAACACTATCACTACTGTACTATCACAGCAGGTAACACAATCACAACAGGTAACACTGTCACTACTACACTATCAAAGCAGGTAACACTATCACTACTACACTATCACAACAGGTAAAACTATCACTACTACACTATCACAGCAGGTAACACTATCACTACTACACTATCACAACAGGTAAAACTATCACTACTACACTATCACAGCAGGTAACACTATTACTACTACACTATCACAACAAGTAACACTATGACTACTACACTATCACAACAGGTAACACTATCACTACTACATTCTCACAGCAGGTAACACTATCACTACTACACTATCACAGCAGGTAACACTATTACTACTACACTATCACAGCAGGTAACACTATTACTACTACACTATCACAACAAGTAACACTATGACTACTACATTATCACAACAGGTAACACTATCACTACTACATTCTCACAGCAGGTAACACTATCACTACTACACTATCACAGCAGGTAACACTATTACTACTACACTATCACAGCAGGTAACACTATTACTACTACACTATCACAACAAGTAACACTATGACTACTACATTATCACAACAGGTAACACTATCACTACTACACTATCACAGCAGGTAACACTCACTACTGTACTATCACAACAGGTAACACTATCACTACTGTACTATCACAGCAGATAACACTATCACAGCAGGTAACACTATCACTACTGTACTATCACAGCAGGTAACACTATCACTACTACACTATCACAGCAGGTAACACTATCACTACTGTACTATCACAACAAGTAACACTATCACTACTCCACTATCATAACAGGTAACACTTTCACTACTTATTAAAGAGACAGAAGACAATACATTACCAGAAACACCTAAAAATTAAAATATGTAATCAGAGTTAAGAAAACAAAGGAAAAAAACAACAACAAACATTCTTTATATCAAGCATGTCCAAATATCCTCGGTCTACATACAGTGCTGACCTGCAAGTCCCCCAATTGTTCCTGGACTATAACTGCCTGAAATGTTTAGAACTGTAGTCCAATAAAGCCTGCAATGCTGCGCTCTGCAGACAATGTCCACCCTCAAGTCTTATTGAGCTGCAGTTCGGCCTTCAGGGCAGACCCTATTGGAAATTCATTGCTCAGTGATAAACCAACACTTACAACATTGATTGATCAAGCTAATTGACTGATTACCTGTTATTCACGAAAAGCCTGGACGTCTAACAGACAGGATACTGCTCAGTATTGAACCAGTGAGCTGTGCGATACAATATTCTCTGCATGCTTTCAAACCCTTCAAGATGTTATAGAACCTGAAGTATCTGATCAGAAATCAATAAGATACAAAGACCACTACGTTAATAGAGTTCTTAAAGTGGGAACATTGTTCACTGTCTCTTCCCTTTTTTAGGTCACAAACTTTTTTTTAGCAATGTTTAATTTAAAAAAAAAAAAAAAAAAACACAATTTTTTAGTCCCACTTTGACAAGGTTTGGGAGTTCCTCCCTTTTCTCAAACCTAAAGCACTGGGAGGCTTTTGCGCACACACATAAACCGCACTGCGCCAATCAGATGTCTCTGTGATACCACTTGGTAGAAATAGGGTTTTGCTCCATTGCTTCAGAGGACGCGCCTCTAGTGACTGTCAGAGCATCAGCCACTACAGTAAAGCAGGGGGTGGATTGGGGTGGGGTGGACATGGCACCTACACCACTTTATTGAGCTTAAATGGTCTAGGTACCTACAGCGTCCATTTAAATAAGGCATTGCAGATTTAGGCCAGATATGGAGAAGATTTTCAGATTGTCTATTTTGCATTTGCTATTCTTTTGACCATGATTCACTGTTTAGTAAACACACCCCTTGGTGACATTCTAGTCATATTAATAAACGGTAGCATCACAGGCAGCTGATACGCCATATTTTGCTTCACAATTAATTGGAATTGGATGCATCAAAGGATTTGTGTTATTTCGGGAGCTGCATCAAAAACATATGCTGACATAACTGTGAAATTTGAACACCTTGCGACAGGAATACTTGGATTGTCTGTCCCCTTCCTAGTAGCAAATCTACTATATTGAGATGAATGATTCTAACATTAGGCACCAGCCAAAATAAGACGCAGCTTCTAAAACCATGGGGGTCTGTTCACTAAACTGTCAATTATAATGACTTTAATTTAGCCCAAAAAGTTACCCAATTTGCATTTTTTAGCCTAAATTAAGGCCTGGATTCAACGCAGCACGCCCTTTATTGAATAAACCACAGTGTGGAATGTGAATATCCGGAATTCCTGATCAGAGGGTTCTGAAAAATAGTTTTTATTTGCAGAGTTCTAATATAACCTTGTTCTTTCAATGACTGTCCAGACAGCCATGCCCAGCAAAACCAATTACTGCAGAATTATACTGACGGAATAACTGTATATAATAATTTAGATTATCCAATTGCTTGTAATTTAGAGTGTTAAATTGGTTTGTAGTTAGACATTTTCTCACCACGACTTAGCTGTCAGAGAAGCAGGGGACAAGTTCTAAAAAAGTTAGTTTTGAAACTCAGTATTATTATTATAATTATTATTGCCATTTGTATAGCGCCAACAGATTCCGTAGCGCTTTACAATATTATGACAGGGGGGCATTTAACTATAAATAGGACAATTACAAGAAAACTTACAGGAACGATAGGTTGAAGAGGGACCCTGCTCAAACAAGCTTACAGTCTATAGGAGGTGGGGTATAAACACGTTAGGACAGGAAATATCAAATAAGGTGGGAGTGAAACAGAGCTGGAGGAGAGGGTAAAGTGCTGCCCTTTAGGAGAGAGCAAGAGACAGGTATGTAAGGTAGAGGTTACTCTGGGAGGCCATAAGCTTTCCTGAAGAGATGGGTTTTAAGGCTCTTCTTAAATGACTAGGGGAGAGTCTAATGGCAGTAGGCAGGCTATTCCATAAGAAAGGAGCCCCCCGCGAGAGGTCCTGCAAGCGTGATTTGGCGAGCAGCAGTCAGGAGGTGGTCACGGGCAGAGCGGAGGGAACGAGGAGGGGCATACCTATGGATCAGTGAAGAGATATAAGAGGGGCTAGAATTGTTCAGTGCTTTAAATGTATGGGTTGGCACTTTGAATTGACTCCTATAGGATACAGGGAGCCAATGTAAGGACTGGCAGAGGGGTGAGGTGTGATTGCATCCCCTTCATTCACCCTAAAATCTCACTCTGAAAGAGACATTATAGGCGCAATATAAATCCTTGTTATATTAGGTATTATATAGTGAAAATATACAAAAATGAAAAATATATATCCCTCACCAACACCTCTCTCTTTTCCTCACTTGTCTCCATAATAATTTCCCCACACTTGTCTCTTCTCTCTATCTTTCCACAACTTGTGTCTCTATCCCCCAAATTGTTTATCTATTTCCCCGCCACTTCCAAATGGTGCCCACTGCCCTTTTAGTTTAGAAGGTTTTTGGGGTATTTGGTACACATTAATTAACTTCTTTCCAGTATGAGCTGCTGTGTGCACTCTATTGTGAGCTACACCCCCCCCAGTGTGGGCAGATGTTTGCCCTCCAGTGTGAGCTGCTGTGTTCCCCCCAGTGTGGGCAGATGTTTCCTCCTCCAGTGTGGGCAGATGTTTGCCCTCCAGTGTGAGCTGCTGTGTTCCCCCCAGTGTGGGCAGATGTTTCCTCCCCCAGTGTGGGCAGATGTTTGCCCTCCAGTGTGGGCAGATGTTTGCCCTCCAGTGTGAGCTGCTGTGCTCCCACCAGTGTGAGCTGCTATGTTTCCCCCAGTGTGAGCTGCTATGTTTCCCCCAGTGTGAGCTGCTATGTTTCCCCCAGTGTGAGCTGCTATGTTTCCCCCAGTGTGAGCTGCTGTGTTCCGCCCAGTGTGAGCTGTTCCCCCCTGTGTTCCAATGTGAGCTGCTGTGTTCCCCCCTGTGTTCCCCCAGTGTGAGCTGCCGGGTTCCCCCAGTGTGAGCTGTTCCCCCCTGTGTTCCAATGTGAGCTGCTGTGTTCCCCCCTGTGTTCCCCCAGTGTGAGCTGCCGGGTTCCCCCCAGTGTGAGCTGATGTGTTCACCCCCAGTGTGAGCTGCCAGTGTGAGCTGCTGTGTTCCCCTCCCAGTATAAGCTGCTGAGTTCCCTGAGTATTTTACAGACAGCAGTTGGTCTGCCCAACTGTTTGGATCAGTGGCAGCAGCCTGATATGCAGTGATAAGGGAAACCATTGACCCTCGCTCACTGACAGTAGAGAGGCTGGAGGTTGGAAGTAAAACCTTAATACAAAAATGTTAAAATATTGCAAACTTGGCTCCAAAGTTATTTTTCTGATAGTTCATCTTTAATAACTAATATTTCCTTCATATTTTCAGCCACGGTGCACTGTGTCCTCGATCATTAATCAGAAGGATTTGCAAGACTAAAAAGGAATCTTTCTTTTATGCTCTAATGACTGAATTCAGCGCACCATAAAATTATAATTATATATGGAACGGATTTCCAGATGTGACACTGACGCTCACCTAGCCTTAAAACGTATTGTTTGCCTGAAATCAATCATCGTGAGTGTCATCCTCCGCAGTTGGTTTCCAATTTCTGCTCACTCAGGAATATTGTTGCATTAAATATAAATAGGTCCTCAAGAAATGGTAAACAATAAATAAAATAAAACAAAAAAACTAAAATGGGCGCTATCGGCTAAAGTGATATGTAATACACAAACTAGAGGGGACAAAAATCCAGATAGGAGCTGGCGACGGTTTATTCAAAATGCATTAAAAACTTGGAATAATAGATTAGAAGAATTCAAAAAAGTGACCCGCTTTGTGGTTTAAAAGGTACATTTTATTACTTTGATCATTGTATCTATGGTGGCAATATCCAGAAACAGATGACTTCTGGAGATCACTTATCTCCCTTTACTCTCAGGTATGTCAAACAATGATTGCACCCAACCTGTGATTACCATGACCTTCGTACGAGGCCGGAAAACAAACCATAGTCTAAACCAGTGTTTCCCAACCCAGTCCTCAAGGCACACCTACCAGTCCAGGATTTAGGGATTACCCAGTTGTGTCCAAGGTGTTTTTTTTTTTTCTTTGTAAAAACACCTTAGACACAACTGGGTAATCCCTAAATCCTGGACTGGTAGGTGTGCCTTGAGGACTGGGTTGGGAAACACTGGTCTAAACTGCTGGTCGTGGCATAAAAGTTACTTCAATGTGATGGACACACAGGCCCCTCCCAGCTATTTGCCAAGTTCAGTCCAAGATCCAAAAGGTATGGACAAAGTGTCAGCCTTTGTGCACCATATTTCATTATTTTAAAGTCTATGGAATCCATGCCTCACATGGAGCCCACCCCCAGCCTCCTACGTGACAGGTCTATCCTGGTATGGCTAACTCACATAGAAATTTATCCTCTCCATTTTTTCAGATAAAAAGTAATATTTCACAGCCCTACTGCAATCTTACCAATTTATATATTGTAAGCTGATGTTTGGAAATTATAGTTTGTAGCACATTGCTATATTAAAAAAAAAAAATTATTATAACAAAACAAAAAATAAACAAAAAAACACTAACAAATGATTATCCGCCAAACTGTAAACAAAATATAGGTTGAAACAGCCAAGGTTTTATTATGGATAAACAGAGTGTCGGAGTACAGGTCAGGTCTAAACCTGAGCTAGAATGAAGAGATGACAGTTTATTGAATAAACTACTGAGCCTCTACTCTGGGGCAACACCGAATTAAGACGTTTTTATGGGGCCTGTACATTAGAACTGTGTGCTAACCCTGTGCACCCCTTCAAACATACAGAGTTATGTATGTAGAGCAATTGTGAGACTAGTATCTAGAAATGTAACGATGACATTAAACCACTGGACTATCTGTGCTGATTGGTCCACTAAAAGAACTTTGTATCAGAATTACTTTTTATATGAACACAGTAGCATCCTGAGTCTCATTACCAGGGACTGATTAAAGCAGCACGCTTTTTTGTCTCCTAAAACGCAGGTTTTGGATTTACACGTCATCTGAACGAGGCTGCTTGCTGATAGGATGAAGCAAACCTAAAAAATTTCTTTATAACATAGATAACTAAATTAATTGGTTAATTACCCTTCAATTAGAAAATCTCATTGCGTGCGGCCCTTGAGGAGTGAGCCGTACACTCTTGTGACAGAGCATAATACAGTAACATAATTTAGAAATTGGGATAGACGTAGCACTGTCATGCATGTTAAACAGGGTCGGGAATCAAATGGGGAAGTTTAGAATTGGGTAAGAAATTGAAGGTGATTGCTTGGGATTTTTTTTTTTGTAAGATGCGACAGAAAATTCCAGGTTCCCGTGTGACACCAAACTGAGAAATGACATCAAGCACTTTATTGAGGACACAGCCTTTCAGCTATTGTAGAACTGGAAATCCCATTTCCCTTAAACAGTCAGAGACAATATGTACTTGTTTTGGAGGTCATCTTGAATGATTGTCAAGAGACTTTTATAAAAAAAAAATCTGATCTTATGTCAGACGCAGGCCTAGAGACAATTCAAAACTGATTCAAGTCTTAGTCTAATATGGCCAAACGTAAAACAGCTGACTTGGGGAATACTTCTAGGCCGGCTATTCTAATATAAAATATGAAATTCACGTTAAATTCTAAAACAATTCACAAGTTTGTGAATAATCCTGTGGCAGAATTAAAAAAAACAGATGTTAAATTTGTTTCTGATCGCTGTTTTAAGGGTTAGGAGGTCCACTTATCCCTCTAGCTTCTTAAATACTTATCTTAGAGGGCTTCCATCTAGGAATGAATGATTCACATGCCAATTACTATCCCACCTGCTTAATATAATCTTATATGTCCCGGCAGCTTTGGAATTTGGAGTAATAAGAAGGAAGTCATGATCCTTTTGACAGGTGACTGGATAATTAGTATTTGTATTTGTAATAAAAGATACAACAAGGCACAAGATGGAGTTTTGCAAAAGACAAAGTAGTCTCTATAAATATTATTTTCAGGTCATACGATGACACAAAATACATGATGTTGATAGCTCTTCAGTAACCCACACCCACTGAAATAAAGAACGAACAACAGAACTACTTTGACAAAAAGTAAAAAATAAATGAATTAAATATGGTAATCCACGGCAATGGTGTAATAAAATATTGATTGCCAGCTTGCCTGGCCCCACAACAGGAGGATCTACTGGCTGGTGAGAGAGATCTTGGATCTCCCACCGGCCATGCTGCCCATCGCTTGCCTGTCGCCCTGAAGCCGTGGCCTTGGTGGCCCCATGGGAAATCCTGCCCTGAGTAGTTTATAAAACTTAGAAGCCCTGATAGTAAATTTTAAAAAATATATCTTACATGCACATCATTAGTCCTAAAGCCATCCAATCAATGGCCTGGATGATATACTGGGGTTTTCCAAAGCTGCTATGCAATTTTTAAAATGCATATAAAGGGTTAATCACTGAACCAGGGATTTACAAAATAGCCAAGCTGAAAAAAAAATAAAAAAATTGTTGCTTAGTTGAAAGTGTTTCCAATTTGGCTATTTCGGAACAACATATGCAATTCCGTCATTCTTTGATATTTCCCATTTTATTGAATAAACATGCAAAACATTTTCACTACACCTTGAAATATTCAGAACTGACATTTCTAGGCCGAGATAGCCGAGAGAGCCGAGATAGCCGATATAGCCTAGATAGCCGAGATAGCCGAGATAGCCGAGATAGCCAGGCTGGAAAAATAAAAGTTTATTTATTTATTTACAATTTGGACATTTTGACAAAACATTTGCAATTCCTGGGATCATAAATAAACCCATTACAAAACTAAATAAATAAATAAAATAAAATAAAATCTATTGGCTGTACCCATTACTGTGTTAATTACAATCTGGCAATTTCACCGTAAACAATATCGGTATTTAACGAGTAAATCACAAAGATACAAAGCAGTGAATAAGAAAATGGCCAAATGCATGCTGGGATATATGTTTTAAGCTAAAGTGACAAAATTGCAAATAGCTTTATTTTAAACTTCTGAACATTGTGGAATGTTCTATATACATCATCTATCTATTATATCTATCTATACACATACATTCAGAGGAAGAATCACCCAAATTGGGCAGAATTCGGCAAACGAGAACTATAACTGCAATATAACCAACACAGCTCTCTTTAGAATCTCCTGGTTTCGTATTAAATCGTTTGATATAAACCAAAGGTGTTCTCAGCCCCATAGATAAGGAGCAGTTAAAGGTTCTGTGTTATCATCCAATCTGGACAACATTTACTGGCTGAGAGTGCTGTGCCAACCAGCCCCGGGCAGCCAGGACTCTCAGCCAAAGATAAGAACACTATAGCTGTGACTGTGAAAGAGAACACAGGTTTGCTATCTCTTTATTATTTTAGATTTATCAGTTTAGAATAAGGTAGCAGGCACAGCCGGGAACTGGTTTGCTATAAGAGCTGGGTAGAATGGATTAGAACTGGTTGGGTTTGGTCAATGTATCAGTAGAAGGTTTGCAGTGTTCCATCAATTAACCCTTCCTGTGCAACGGTCTGACACATTTATAAGGAGGGATTGGTTTTCTAGCAGAGCTGTATGAGAAATGAAAGAGAACATGACTGCAATTTAGAAACTGAAATGTGTAAAAGTAATGTAAGACAATAATGTATTACAGAAAGGGTGATAGATACCTGGAATAGCCTTCTAGTGGGAGCAGTAACGGTGATACAGAAAGGGTGGTAGATACCTGGAATAGCCTTCCAGTGGGAGCAGTAACGGTGATACAGAAAGGGTGGTAGGTACCTGGAATAGCCTTCCAGTGGGAGCAGTAACAGTGATATAGAAAGGGTAGTAGATACCTGGAATAGCCTTCCAGTGGGAGCAGTAACAGTGATATAGAAAGGGTAGTAGATACCTGGAATAGCCTTCCAATGGGAGCAGTAACAGTGATATAGAAAGGGAAGTAGATACCTGGAATAGCCTTCCAGTGGGAGCAGTAACAGTGATATAGAAAGGGTAGTAGATACTGGAATAGCCTTCCAGTGGGAGCAGTAACAGTGATATAGAAAGGGTAGTAGATACCTGGAATAGCCTTCCAGTGGGAGCAGTAACAGTGATATAGAAAGGGTAGTAGATACCTGGAACAGCCTTCCAGTGGAAGCAGTAAACGTGACATAGAAAGGCTAGTAGATACCTGGAATAGCCTTCCAGTGGGAGCAGTAAAGGCCAACAGCGATATAGAAAGGGTAGTAGATATCTGGTATAGCCTTCCAGTGGGAGCGGTAAAGGCCAACAGTGATATAGAAAGGGTAGTAGATATCTGGAATAGCCTTCCAGTGGGAGCAGCAAAGGCTAACAGTGATATAGAAAGGGTAGTAGATACCTGGCTGACACATTTATAAGGAGGGATTGGTTTTCTAGCAGAGCTGTATGAGAAATGAAAAAGAACATGACTGCAATTTAGAAACTGAAATGTGTAAAAGTAATGTAAGACAATAATGTATTACAGAAAGGGTAGTAGATACCTGGAATAGCCTTCCAGTGGGAGCAGTAACAGTGATATAGAAAGGGTAGTAGATACCAGGTATAGCCTTCCAGTGGAAGCAGTAACAGTGATATAGAAAAGGTAGTCAATACCTGGTATAGCCTTCCAGTGGGAGCGGCAAAGGCCAAAAGTGATATAGAAAAGGTAGTAGATACCTGGAATGGCCTTCCAGTGGGAGCAGTAATGGCAAACAGTAATTCAGAGAGGGTAGTAGATACCTTGAATTGCCATCCAGCTGAAGTAGTAAAGACTAACAGAGTAAAGTAATTCAAGAACGGCTGGAATAAACATTCCTCTCTCCAGAAAAATAAAAGAGTTGTTCTCAGGAGAGTCTGGTCCAATCTGGTGGAGTGGTGACTCCCCCGTTTTTTGCTGCTTAAAAATTAAATAAACCTGTTGCTGCAGTAAAAATGAATTAAACTTTTGTTAAGCAAAAATGCATTGTGTCTGTCATGATTATTTCTGCAGTTTCCTTCCCACCCCCTCATCATTGCTGGCCTAAGATGCTGAGATGCTGAGTAACGAATCCTGTTAATGATTTAAGGCACTTTTGAAAAAAATGCCCCATTTCCTGGGTGCTGACATGTCATGTTTAGTCTGCTCTAAAAAGGTTTATGATGTCACCTACTGGCTTTGCACAGGGCCTTCAGACTCCGAACGCCCTGACAGACAGGCCAGTGTATCATCCTGTCTTGTAGGGCTGCCATTAGTTAACAGCATCAGGAGATGGACCTATTTAAATGGGTTGTTGTTACTAAACATATGTATCTTGTGGATTATGTGTCGAACAAGGCATGGCGTCTCATTGGGCCTGGGACTGAGCACATGAGGTTAGGAGGGCAGAGCCCAAAAAGTCAGGAGGCAGAGTCAAATTCGGGGGTAGAATCTATGAGATGGGTAGAGCCATCTTTAAACTTCACTGGCTTCAACTGGTTGTACTGCCCATTCGCCCTGAGACCTAGAGAATCTGCCCAATAACCCTGAGACCCAGAGAATCTGCCTACTCATTCTCAGACCCAGAGAATCGGTCAATTTACCCTGAGACTCAGAGAATCTGCCCATACACCCTGAGACTCAGAGAATCTGCCTATTCCCCCTGAGACCCAAAGAATCTGCCTACGCATTCTCCGACTCAGAGAATCTGCCCATTCAACCTGAGACTCAGAGAATCTGCCCATTCAACCTGAGACCCAGAGAATCTGCCCATTCCCCCTGAGACCCAGAGAATCTGCCTACGCATTCTCAGACTCAGAGAATCTTCCCATTCACCCTGAGACTCAGAGAATCTGCCCATTCACCCTGAGACCCAGAGAATCTGCCCATTCACCCTGAGACCCAGAGAATCTGCCCCTTCGCCCTGAGACCCAGAAAATCTCCCCACTCATCCATTTTTCCTGCATTATTAAAAATCTGCCCATTCAAGCTGAGACCCCGAGTATCTACTTATTTATCGAGACGATCTAGGAATCTGCTCACCTCAAGTCCACGTGAATCTACCAATTTGTAACTCCTGTAAAACTGCCCATTCAGCCTGACACAATGAGATTCTGATTTAGATCATACCATTTGGCCTGTTTTGGGCATGAATTTTAAATTCACTTTGAATTCTCAGTACATAATCATGGTGTATCTAATGGAGTTACTAAATTGTGAAATCCAGATTTTATTCTGTTTTGCCATTTCCATGAATTGATTTTAGGAAATAATCTTGCTTGCCTCTATCTGAGACCGAATATACAATGTAGCTATCCAATACAGAGTTTAATCATAAATATGTTATCATTGAAATAGCTCTCAATGACGCCATGCTTTCTACATTCAATAATTTGGTAAATGATAAAATAATATAAAAGACATTATGTGATATATTCTTGAAATATCTTAATCGATGCACTTAGTGCACTGTGCAAGCTGTGGGCATCATAGCTGGAAACGAGAGACATCTTACTCCTTAAATGAAACTCTGTTTTAAAACAGAAACCCTCCAGCCTTGTGTTTTGCACAAAGGGAGCTGTGCTACTGCCAAATGAATAGCACCCTTTATCATGGCTAATGTGGCATGCCCAACATCACCAAGGCAGAGGTGCGTGCGTGGGAGATCGCTCAGCCTTGTACACAGAATATCAAAATTGTTCCCCGGCTTCCGACATTTCACATGCTGGGCTTTGTTTCCCTCTACACTGGTCTGTCGATGTCGTTGTTCTGCAGAAGAGAACACTGTCTGTCTATCGAACTGTCTGTCTCTCTATCTATATATATCACTACCTTACCTGCCTGCCTGTCCAATCCGTCTGTCTGTCTGACTATCTATCTACCTACCTACCGTCCGTCTGTCTGTCTGTATATCTATCTAAATAATCTCTTTTGGTTTATCTATCTGTCTTAGCAATTTCCATGGTTACGGCTGAAGTTTTAGAACTTTGACCCACAATTGCTCTTTATAGCCATAAACCCCCATAAAGCGTGTCTAGCACTTTAACCAACAGGTCTCTTCCATTATGAGATATACAGCCTGCTGGTGAGTATTCACTGGAAACAAGCTGTGACAGAACCTGGGAGATCAAACAAAAAAGTGACGGAACAAAGCATTACATGCAAAAGCAAAGAAAAGATGTTCAGAAGCAATTCTTCTTGTCCCCAGAATGTTAACGTCTGTCAGATGCAGAGACTGGCTGAAGAAGTAGGTTTGGAAAAGGCTTGCATTGCAGACACACGGTCCTGGCTTTTAAAGAAAACATAGCAACATTTCTAGAATTTCCTCATTCTGACAATGTTTTTCTAATGTAATTCTGCGTAATTTGAGTAATGTGTCAAACTAACATTTATGAACATCTGGTCTGATATTCGTTACATCGATATTTATGTGTAGGAATCTCTCCCCTTCCAGATATAATGTATGGGATAAAGAGAATTCTCTGGGGAAGCATTGTAAATGTGCAAATCAGCTGGAACATTCCATTCAGATCTACTGTGAGTGCTAAACTTTATTCTTATTATTTAATTATTTATATAGCGCCAGCAAATTCTTTAGCGCTATTTATGAATTTTGCCCAGAAATTGTCCTTCATAAATGACTCCTATTGTTGGTTTAAGTGGCGTAATCAATTGGAAATTGATATATGAAAATAAATCACTAGCAATAGTTGTACATCCCTCTTCCATCTAATATTTTGGCATCCTTTGATTCTTCTGAATCCTTTTTTTTAACATCTATTTGGGCTTCGTTTTCCATAAGGTACGCTGGGGTGCACTGCTGTACCCCACATCATTACAGGGTGTACCAGTCTAACCAGCGCTTTAATGATACTTGATGCAATAATAATGCGGATAGTGTTAAACATAATTAGATATAATTACTGTAAATCCCTCCTGCACCATAAGAAGGCAAAATAGATTAATCTAAAATGGGGATAACGCTTTTTGATCCCTAAACTTGGTAATGTGGAGAAGCAACAAGTACGTGAATTGCCGGTTTGCCGTTTCAGTATTTTGGTCTAAAATTGCTTTTCCCTTGAGATATCTTACCAATGAACAGTTAGTGAATAAATGCCCTAAGTTATCAAACAATTCATTGTGATATACTCGTGACCAATTTCTTAAATTTATGTCAAACCAACTGGGTTGCAGTCATTTCCAAACTCAACATTTTTCCCATCTTGACTATTTTGAGTGAACTTTAACAGCTTGTTTTTCAATTCTCCGCTCAGTAAACGACCCCCTTCCTGCCACCTTCCTGCCCCTGTCTATTTTATCCTTTGATAAGAGAATACATTGTATCAAATCCATCTAACTCAATGTTTAATGCAGTCTCGGAAACGAGAATAGAATATCCAGAAATCTTCCATAGTCTTCCAGAATGTCTGCACTGGCGGCTAAGGGATCTAATGAAGTAAATGATCAGTGCAGAAAGGTTAGGGCTTGTAATATATTCTCTAGTCTTCCCAAAAGGCATGTACCACTTCTAGGAGGCAGCTCTCTCTCTCATCCAGCCCTTTAGTCCCTCTGGTTCTTTCCACCTCTATTTAACCTTGTTGCTATTACCATCTCCCCATTCCCTCACCAAACTCCAAATCCTGAATAAACTTCTAATAAAATGCAAGAATGAAGCGTGTGGCAGCTTCCGGACAAGCGTTCCGTATCATTTTTCTCCTGACTTGTTTTGCGAGAATGAAAAATGTATTTTATGGGTGAGGATTACAGAGCTCGATCTTCGCAAGGTATAGTTAACACTGTAATGCACTTGGTCCATTAGCTGCGATGCCCCGTAGGATTTATCAGCAGACCAGCAGCAACGTGATGGCAGGGAGGGCTATTTCGATTCTCCAAGAGCCAGATGATGTCATTCCTAACTGCAATGCGACCTCCCCTCCCGGCCTTTGCTAAAGTCCCTTAATGAGCCATTTTCCATCCTTGGCATTGATGCTAAAGCGAAGCTAACTGCATGCTGTGTAAATGCATCTTTTAAACCATTTGTGTTTTTTGATTCTTTGCATGCGAAAGCCTTTGCCAGGAGGGATCCTGCAATGTACAATTTGCACTGGTAATCACACTCCCCCCCAATAGACAGGGCATCTGTGGAGAGGTGCAGAGAATTATCAATAGGGAAGAAAGATTTTGCTTTTTTGCTTTTAACCGAAAGGAGAATAAAGTCTCTCCTTCTGTACACAGACTGAGATGCATCGTCTAACTCCTTCAACCTTGAGCAGTTAATCTGTTTTCATGGTGATGTCATCATTTTTGATTGTGTTTTAACCCTTCAGGTCCCTGGCAGAGTCTCACCGGTTGCTCGGTCGGATGGCAGGCTTGGCACGCTCTTTCTTACAGACACGGTTGTGAGTTTAAACCCAAGCACGTTAGCTTTTATAATTCACAAACTATATTGTTTATACAATTATTAAATGATCTTTCGTGTGGAAAAACAGAAATGTTTCTTTTTAGATTTTGGGTCCTTGTTGATTAATTGTAACCAGCAGACAAAAGAATGTTGCTAGAAGGTGCTCCTGCTGTTAAAACGCTGTAGATCAGGGGTAACTAAAATGTAGACCCGCAGTCAGAGATCACAGCCTGCTATTGCTGTACGAATTTGGATGGGTACTAATAATAAAGCAACATTTCTCATTATCTTAGCGGTGGTCGAGGGGTCAGACTGTGGTCCTGTAAAACCAATGCTTTGCACCATAACCCCTACTGTAATGATACAATAAGCTGTAATGATACAATAAGCTGTAATGATACAATGTGCTGTTACATAAGGAACTGTAAAAATCACAATAAGCTTAATGATGCCATAGTCTACAAAAATACAGTTAGTTGCAGTGGGGATGGTGCTTAGACTTTTGACAAATTAGAATGGCGCAAAGTATTTACAAAGTATAACCACCAGAGGCAAACTATATATAATATATAGATGCAGCAGCCTACAGGGACCTCTGATAAATCCTCCAAGCTAGGCCCGGGCTGGCCATCGGGTAACTGGGCAAATGCCCAGTGTGCCGCGATGGCCAAGGGCCGGGGCCAACCAGGGAGATCAAAGGATCTTCCAAACCGGCCCATGCAGGGCTGATGCTCAGTGAGCGCAGCCCAAACATGCAACAAAGTCCCTTGATGAGCCGGTGAGGAGATTAGAGATCTCATTACACAGACAGGCAGAGCGACACAGGGAGCTTCTGATCTCACCTCCTGCTGGGGAGGAGGGCACCAACATGACTATTGAAAGG